GACTTTAGAACATTCTTTACTGGTTTTGATTACCAATCATTATCCCAAATAAACGTATTTTTTTTTGCGAAATACGATATGCCGAGTATAATCATAATGTACCAATAAAATAATTACTGATGAATGTCACACAATAAATTACATACATTTCCACCATATAATTCGCTTCATTTCCTAATGGGTTAGCGGCAGTTGTGTAGTCTATTATTACCGCCAACGGTAAACAACTATTATTATTATTATTGTTGTATCCCAATCTAATTGTAATTTGATATTGCATTTAATTAATTTTCAATTTGGGATTTTGGGCAATGTTACGAGACACCGCGTGCGCCGAGTACTATGACCCCAAACAATCAGTGCTTAGAGTCTAGTCTCTAGTGCTTTAGCGGGATATAGGAGTATACGCATGTATGTGTGCTTGTGTCTATATGTAGTGGCAATTAATACTGCACTCTTGTTATTTCTCTCGTTTCGCATCGCTTTTTTGTTAAATTGTGCAACTAATTATTGGCAGCAATTATGGAGAAAAGTGCGAACTAAATTGCAAATTGTTGGTGTTTGTGTATTAGTTCGAGATTGCCATCGAGATTGGCTTGTTTATTCTAATAATTGGGCCACTCATACATGTTCGAACGTGAACGCGCGGGGTGTTAAGATATTATGCGTCGTATGTGGCAATTAAAAATGCGGGCAGCGCAGAGTGTTGGTAAATATGTAATAAGGTAATAATGTGATTGTAGCCGTAACAGTATGTAATTTGTACAAATGTGTGTGTGCAAGGGGAATAAATAACACGTCTGTATGAATGAATATATGTAGTAATTCCGAAGGGTGTTTCCCTAAATGGAGGGATAAGTGATATATAAATACTATATATGAATGATTTATTTATGTGCATATACATGTGCAAAGAAAAAAAATTACTGTAATTATTACCAACTGACATGCACAGCTAATTCAATGCGCGGTGCCAATAAACTGTTGAGGATTGAAGGAAAAACTATTATTCTAATGTTGGATTTGACAATGTGAAACAAAATATTTGAAATGAATTGATACATGAACCAGTAGGGAGAGTCAGATGTCGGGCGGGGCCGACTATATTATATACTTCACCAGAATAAACCTGATATCGGATAAAAATATACATGGGAGCTACATCCTAATTTGAATCGATCATGGCAAAATTTATGCACTTATTTCTGAGCTGTATTTGATATCTGGTACAAAAAATCATTGTTGTGGAGTGCATTTTACGCATTTGAGGGTGAATGAGAAGAGAAAACCAACCGAATGGTTTGGTTGTTGATTCAATTCTGATTTTATTTTTAAAATATGTTCCTTACGTACTACTGAAAGGAATCTAACTTAACCTATCTATTCTAATATTAAATGGAGAACATTGCAGGGCTACTTGTCATTTTATTCAAGTGGTCTTGCACATCTACTGTGCGCATCGATACCTGTGCTTGTGAGTCATTACCTTTATTATCTCTCGCATTATCGTATGCGTCAGCGCACAAGATCACCGAATTCTTCACATGTGATGTTTTATGGCGGCTGGGAAATAATTAATTTTAGAAAAAAATTTTTATTTCTACATTTTACCAGCGCCTCAATCGCACTCAAAAGTATGTACAAAGTATTTTGTACAGAGGGAATTAAACCCCCAAAATCGGGTTTCTAGAATGAATTTAGTCGTAATTGCCAAAATTTAGATCCTTTGGGTTCATATTAGATACTTGGTCCACAATAAATCGGATCCGATCATGATAAAATTGGACAGAGGTATTTCTGGGCTGTATCTGATACTAGTACCAAATACCGTTCTTTTGAAGTGCATATTATGAATGTGAGCGACTTCAACACAAAATCGGATGAACATATGTATGGGAGCTATAGATATATCTGAACCGATTTTAACCAAATAAAAGCACCTGTTTCTAGAAAAAATTCAGTCGGATGTGCCGAAATTCAGGTCATTTGGACTGATATTGATAATTTGGTACCTAATCAACCTGAAATTGGTTGAGCATATATGGGAGCTATATCTAAATTTGAACCGATTCGCAGCAATTTCAAAAGGGTTCGACCTTGGGTCAAACAATTATTGTTTGGGAAATTTCATATCAATCGGATAATAAATGTGACCTGCATTTTGTTCAGAAGAATACATGGACCGACAGACAGACGGACGGACTGACATGCATAAACCGACTCAGAAAGTGATTCTATGAAGATCCTCAAAAGTGACTAGTGTGGTTATGTAAAATTGAAATTACGAATAAGCTCTCTGAAGGCTCGCAGCAAATAACATTCATATCGGGAGCATATAACAGCTTTCAGGTAACCCAAAACTCAAGTCAATTGCAGCATATGTGCAGGGTGAGATGAAAAAACTGCAAAAAACTTCAGACTGCTGTCATTTCTAAGCCAATCGTCCGACAGTTGTTAAAATTATTCCAGTGACAGCTCATTATATTGTTTACAAGCGTAGAAAAGCATTTTTGAGAGAATTTTCCACAAAAAAAGTTATTCGTGATGGAATTCAAGCCTGATAGTGTGATTTCTTTATATTTGGCTGGAAAACCACAAATGGCTATCGTTAGAGCACACTCCAGCATTCAAATGTGAATACATCTTTTGTGTCTCGTGAATCGTTTGTATCATCGCTTGTTACCGTGATACTGCTAGCGTAGCCCGACGTCAAGGAAGTGGACGGAAGAAAACAGCAACATCAACAGAAATGTTTCGAAAAGTAAAGAAGTGACTTGATAGAAACCCGCGTCGTAGTGGCCAAAAATGGCTCGTGAGTTGAACATATCGCAATATTTCATTCGGCAAATATTGAAAAATGAGCTCGGGTAAAGCCATTGAAATTTGAAAAAGTGCAAGAACTTACAACGCAACAGAAAGAAAATAGACTCAAAAGAGCTAAAGAGTTGCTTCGTTTGGCTGAAAGTGGTGAACTGCCGGATTTGGTTTTCTCCGATTATAATCCAAATAATCGTGTTTACTTGCCAAAGAGGTCAGCTGAAAATGTACACCTTCGGTTGTCCACCAGACTTCAAGCGCCGGCCATTGTTATGGAGTGGGCTGCCATAACAGCCGATGGTCGCTCTCCGCTCGTATTAATCGGCCGTGACCTCGGAATGAATATTATCGCGAAAATATTCTAGAGGGCGTATTAAAGCCATGGGCACGCAAACATGGACAAAAATACCGCAGAGCAACATTCGGGCAGCGTGTAACGGTTTCATTGACCGTTTGAAGGCCATAATTCTTGCCAAAGGTGACCAATTCAAAAAAAAAAAATCGAAACTTATTATAAAATTTGATGCTATTTCCGTCATTTTTTGCTTTTATTCAATAAAATTTGTCTCACCCTGTAATATCTTCCAGAAGTCTATTTTCTATAAGTGCAATGATTTGCTAATTTTCACTCGGGAGCGAAGCTTGCTCGCGAGCAAGATTGCTCAAAGAGTGGGAGTTTCTTACATCGTCTTCTCTTTAGTGTTGTGTTGGAGTCACTCCTGTTTGAAAAATAAGAATGGGAGCAGAATCGCTTAAAATAGAGCAAAAGTTGTTTGGAGAGTGAAAACAAGTAAAAAAGCAGTAAGTTCGGCCCGGCTGAACTTTGAATACCCTCCACCATTTGGAACGAATTAGAAAATTTGCAAAAAAATAAAATCCAATAAAAATTCTTTTCTAATCTTTAATATATATAATATAGGAAGGTGCCGATATATGGGGGGATATTCGATATTGTGGACCTATAAAGACAAATCTATGTCTGGGTGTAAAGTACTCACAAGGAACTCCTTGTGTGGATTTTCAGACAATTCCGTTGAAAAATGTGGGTAAAATACCGAATATCGGGGGTACCGTTATATGGAGGCTATACGATATCGTGGACCGATATAGCCCATCTTCGAACCTGACCTGCCTGCAGACAAAAGAGAGATCTGTGCAAAATTTTAGCTTCCTATCCTAATTCGTTTAGACTGTAGCGTGATTACAACAGACGGACAAACGGACGGACGGACAGGGCTAAATCGTCTTAGAATTTTACGCTGATCAAGAATATATATACTTTGTTGGGTCTAAAATGATTATTTCGACGAGTTACAAACGGAATGACGAACTTAATATACCCTCCATACTATATATGGTGGAGGGTATAAAAATATTTATTTTGATGTATACTGTAGAAGAGGGGGTGTACCTTCAAGATGTATTCTCCCAATAAAGGACCATCAACAGTCCATAAGTCATTCTAGAATTATTCAAACTATACATAAGCTTACATTATGCCTTCTTCCCTAGAAGCCTTTCTAAAGCTTTTCATTATGTATATAATATTGTTTTGGCGGCCTTTTTCACTATTAAAGACCATTGGAGATCTTCTCCCAATATAATAATTTCTAGGATACATTTTCTTATAAAAAATATTTTATTTATATTTTTTGTTATAAAAATATTAAATTTCCTTACTTAAAAGACTTTCATCAAGTATTCCTCTAATTCAAGATGCTTTCTTTATTGCTAGACCTTCCCAAGATCTTCTTTCTAAAGAGATTCTTCTAGGGGTCATTCTAGAATAGAAGGTCATCTTAAGATTATTTCCCTGTAGAAGTCCTGCCATAAGCCTTTTTTCTTTAGGAGGTCTTCTAAATGTCTTAGTTTTAGGGAAGAGCTAAAAGTTTTCGATATTCGTTTTTAGTAGACCCACAATTAGCGTTTTCTCTTTTCCTCTATCTTTAGAATGAGTTTTATACAATGAAATCTTTGAAGTAATAAATGCTGAATCCTCCGTTAGACGATATTATTCCTTATGTCCATGGAAGACCTATATCTTCGTGTAAGGGTTTTTGAAAACTTTTAATTATTTTTTATCCACTGACAACCTTTATTATTTTTTAATTTGGCAAAAAATTAAATTTTTTTATTGTGAACAACTTTTAAAATGAATTTCTTGCTTCCCCCTTTCTTTCCAGCCAGAACGGATACGTCTGCGTGACAGTCACTATAAGAACGCTCTGCATTATTGTGCTGCTCAGAGTGTGGCGAGAACAGGCGATCTCGTGGCTGCCGCCAGTATTGCCGTCGCAGCTCCAGAACTGCTGGAGTCTGCCGACGAAGATGGCTTTACACCGCTGCACTTGGCTGTTATTCAGGGCAACTTGGCAATGGTCAATTTGCTTCTAGCGAACAAAGCCGATGTGAATGCGGTGGATAAAGAAGGGCACTCGGTGGTGCATTGGGCAACAGGTGAGATGGAAGAATTCTGTGTATAGTTTCCAAATCGTTTCAATGTCTTTCTTTTAGTCTGTGGTGAGGTGGCAGCCTTAAGGGCTGTCTTGGCTGCGGGTGCCAATGTGACAACACCGGACATTAATGGTGGCTCTCCTCTGCATTATGCCGCCCAGATGTGTGGAGCCACTTATGAGGGTAAATTGAGTCAAGCTAATTCCCATAAATTGGCCTTGGAAATTTTGGGTATTCTCTTGGCTCATCCGCAGTGCAGTGTGGATGTGGAGGACAAAGATGGACGTCAACCGTTGTTGTGGGCTGCCTCTGCTGGTTCGGCCAAGGCAATTTTGGCTTTGGTTAAGGCGGGAGCAAGGGTTGAAACAGCCGATAAGTTGGTTTTGTTGAGAACTATTTTTAAGATTGCCAATTACATGTGTGTTTGTCTTGTTACAGGGATGGCCTTACGGCCCTACATTGTGCTGCCTCTCGTGGTCATACGGAGTGTATTGATACGCTCATCAGTCTCTGTGGAGCTCCCACGGATCTCATCGATTCCAATGGTTGTACAGCCTTACATTATGCTGTCACCTTGGGTCATGCAGATGCCACATCACGTCTGCTGGACTTTGAAGCTGATCCCAATCGCCAAGATCGTAAGGGTCGCACACCAGCCCATTGTGGTTGTGCCAAAGGACAATTCGAGACAGTGAAGCTGCTGAAGGAAAGAAATGCCAATTTGTGGTTGCGTAATGCCAAGGGCGATCTTCCGTTGCATGAAGCTGCCGCCTCGGGGCGTCGAGAATTGGTTGAATGGTTGTTGGAACAAAGACCCAAGCAGGTGAATACCACCAGCAATGATGGGCGAAGTTTGCTGCACATAGCGGCATATAATGATTACACAGATATGTGTAAGTTGTTGATTGACTATGGAGCTGATATCAATGCTGTATATCGGAATTCCAAGGGCATAGTCATCACACCTTTAGATTGTTCGCTCCAAAAGGGTCACAGGTCGACAGCAAAGTTTCTACAGTCCCATGGCTGTTTGCCGGCTGGAAAACTTAAATTGGCTGCCCGACGTCCAAATCCATTTACACAACCTCCCATGGAGACCGTAAAGCCTTTGCAGTATGTAGAAAAGGAAGAGATACACGACCTTAGTAACTCCAAGAAATATGTTGTATATTTGAAACGTTCCGAATCGGATGGAGCCGATGATGGTAACTGCAGTTGTTCGGAACAAACCTATCGTCGGGAACAGCGTTATGCCCACATTTGTCATAGGCATCGCAAAGGCAAAGGACGCCACTTGAGAAGGCGCACAAGCAGTTGTGGGGATCCCAAGGAGTCCGATCACGAATGTAGTGGAATGTGTCGCTCCAAGAGTAATATTGAGATTCGGCGTCGGAAATCACGAGAACGTTATCTTAGCTCAAGCGAGTGGGAGGATGACGAAGATGACAGTGATTCCTGTGAAAATTGTTGTTATCATAAGCGGCAAAAGCAACGGGTTTTACACAAGAAACGCTCCATATCAAACAAGCGTTCGAAGGATGCCATCGATTCAGATGGAAAACATGAGGGTGGGGGTATAGAGGAGGCACAAGCAAAAGCTGCCCAAAAGTCAGGAGATCTGGAGGTACGGGAGAGTGATCAAAGTCCTGAAGCCCTGATAGTACCTGAGGATGCAGCTAAGCAAAATACAGCTGAAGCCCGTGGCAAGGGAGAGGAACAGCCAGAGTCCACTGAACAAGTTTTTAGTCGTTCGGCCTCACCAACAAAACCTTCAGTTCCCTCCACTCCGACCACAGCAGTCAAGGAGGGTACTTTTATTAAAACTCCGCCGGCACCGGAGGATGAAGCTGATACATCTGCCCTCATCTCCGGGGCAGAATTTACCGATGATGATGAAAATGCCTCCAAAAGTATTGTTACGGAAGTTCAAGTCCATCACCCAGCAGAGGATGAAGGAAATACTAGTGAAAAGCCAGAGAGAATAGCTATCGATGCTCAAGAAAAGGAAGAATCAACTGAAAAGGCTCCTTTGGAAGAAGAAGTAGCCAAACAAGTTGAGGAAATTGTGGATACTGCCACCGCCATAGCTGAAACTGCCACAGCACCTCCTTTGGCCCCGGAAACATCTACGGATGCTGAGGAACAACAAAAGGCAATGGAAGAAAAAGCTATTGAAGCGGAGGAATCCCAACCCCAAGAACAAAAAGTTGGAACTACAGGCCAAACAGATGGCGTTCAACCTCAAGAAACTTCAGAAGACCTTGGAAAGCCTTCCAAGGAAGACATGGAAACAAATCTAGAAACTCCTGTCCAAGCCAATCAATCTTCAGCTTCACCTCTTCCACAAACTTCCGCAGCCCATGAAATTCACGATATTCCACCACAGCCAGAACAACCAAACCAAGAAGAAGAAAAAGAGACCCACACAGAAGCCGCAGCTGACAAACCAAGTGAAACAACAGCTTCCAACCCCCAAACTACCTCAAATGATTTACCACCACAATCCAATGCGGCCAATGCTGAAGAAGCTCACAAGATCTCCTCAAAACCAAATGAAGAAGAACGGGAAGACGAAGACCACGGTGAACGCCCCCCTCCAGTCAGGGAACAAGAATCAAGACGTTCATTTACCTTACTTCCATCCGACTCAGCTGAAGATGAACCAGCCATAGAAGTACAAGAAGAGGCACTGAGACGTAAATCCAGCTTCCAGGTTTTAAAAAGTGATGATTCCGTTATTGAGGTAGATGATTCCAATTCTGCACGCGACGAAGTGGAAATGAGTGATTCCACAGTTTTTAAGGTTCTCACCAGTCCCCAAACACAACTCTTCGAGGCAGATTCGAATCGTTCCGAAGAGGTGACCCTACAAGATGATGAACACGAAGATGAAGACGAAACGCAGACTCAAAAACGTTTTCGCCCGCAAGATGAGCCAATCTCACCGTACGACTATGCCACAGGACGCAAACGACGCCTCAAGAAACGTGTCAAAAGCGGTACAAAATCACGCAGCAATTGGCAACGCACCGAAGCAGAAGCTGCTGAAATGCAGCAAAACACAAGAGATCAAGATTCAGGATTTGAGCCCAGTCCTCGCACGTTGAAAACCAAAATACCAACACCACGCAACATATACACGGCTCATTTGCCACGTCGTCCATTGTACACCACCCTGGATGGACGTTCGTGCAGTAGCCGTTTGGAAAATCGTAAAGCCGGTGACAAAGGTGCTTGTGATATGACAGCCGTTACGAGATCTATACAAAGAAATATCCGAAGGTAAGTGTTGTGGCGACATTCATCCATCCATCAGAGTGATTAACTCCTGCTCCTGGTTCTTGTTCTGCTCTTGTTCTCAAAACTAATTTCGCTTTTAATTTATCGCCTCGCCACTGCTGCTGCCATTTGCTGTCATCGTGGGCTTAATTTAACTCTGTTATGGGATTACCTGTAACGACTTGTGGTTGTTGAACTTTTTCACAGTGGTTCGGAAACAGTAAGACAATTTGCATTGTTATCTTTAAGTAGGCAGTAGAACTGCCGATGTTCCAAAAATTAAACGATTCTTTCTAAATGCGGATAATACAGGGTTGCCCATATTCGACGGACCCATGTTTTTTTTTTTTTAAATCAAAGAAAAAAATAAAAATTTGGCGGTTGGCAATGTTTATCATTTAATTTGTTCCAAGTAGATTTGTTTACATCAATTTTTGAATATGATATCTTTCAAATGGCCGCCTCTGGCGTTGATGACGTATTGTGCCCTTTTTGCTGCATTTTCCATCGTTTTTGCCAACATTTCGGCCGGAATAGCGGCTATTTCTTCACGAATGTTGTCCTTGAGCTCTTCTACGGTCCTTGGCTTGTTAACGTAAACCTTTGACTTCAAATATTCCCACAAGAATAAGTCAGCCGGCGTCAAATCGGGCGAACGCGGTGACCAGTCCAAATCACCACTTTTCGACATCAAACGGCCCGGAAACAAATTCTTCAGAAAATCGCTTGTTATGCGACTTGTGTGCGGTGGAGCGCCGTCTTGTTGAAACCAGAACTGCCTCATACGCTTTCGACGAATAATTGGCATCACAAAATTGGTCATCATGTCGCGATAACGCTCCTGATTGATGGTAACAGCATGGCCATTTTCATTTTGGAAGAAAAACGGTCCAATGACCGTTTTCGCACTAACGCCGCACCAAACTGTGACTTTTTCGTCATGAAGAAGCACTTCTTGAATCTCCTGAGGATTTTCAGTGGCGTAAAAACGGCAATTTTGCTTATTTACGGTCCCATTCAATGTGAAATGGGCTTAATCAGACATGATAATTTTGTTCCAAAATTGCTTGTCATCTTCGGCCATTTCGATGACTCTTTGGGCCCATTCCACGAGGCTTGTCCGCAGGCAACATTCTTTGCCTCAATTGAATTTTGTACGGGAACAAATGCAAATCAATACGAATAATCCGTTGTAAAGTGGACCGAGCCATGTCCAACTGCTGAGAACGGCGTTTTTGGGATGTTCTTGGGTACCTCTCAACACTGGCTCGTACGGCAGCGATATTCTCGGCCGATCGCCTTGATCGACTTGTATATGGCCTCTTCGGATAAGAAAGAGCCTTACCAGTGGTAAATAGTAAGAAGCGTAAAAATCTACGACGATTTAGCCCTGTCCATCCGTCTGTCCATCTTTTGTAAAAATCATCCAATTGCTATATATTCCAATTATAAATATTAACACTTTTTGTTTTATTCGTTCACAAAAAAAAGAAATTGTTCAATTGTCAATGTTGAAAATGTTCAACTTTGAAATTTTTTACGCCCGACATATTAGGATAACATTCATATAAATACATGTGGTTTACTTGTGTGGCCCTCGGTGTACGTCAAATTTTAGATAACGCTGTTATGGTATAAAATTCTGAGAGCCTGATAGAGAGAGAAATATTTAAAAATAAAAATTAAAATCTGAACATTTGTTATTATTTATTACTGACTCGAAATAACAAATTGAAGTTCATTCGGATAGAAAATAATACCAGCGGCTTTAATCGCTATATATATTCTGAACATATGCCGAAATTTGAAAATATATTGAAGTCCATTTATTTTCTCTTCAAGAAGAGAATCGTTGTCAAAATTGACTTTTTTGACTCGTGGTGCCTCAAAGTGTCGTTGAAGTAATTGCCCTACAGAGGGTAATATCATTTAATATGGGCACAACATGTATCATCGATATAACGATTAGGGATCCTACGTCTCTTTAAAAAAAATAGTTTCAGAATATTTGAAGTCCACCTAGCCATGTGCCACTGCCCTATATATGTTATCGGCGTAGGAAATATCGCATTTGATCTAAACTTGGTACATTATAAAATCTTTATAGACCTTAGATTAAAACCGGCAATATCGGCCCACTAGCTCAGATTTTGCGACTACATTTGGAAAGAAATCTTTTTTTCATATAACGGTACCTCCCGATATTCGGTATTTTGATGACTTTAGCGACATTAGTCACAGGAATTGTTTCAAATTTTCCATTTGAAGTTCGTCATGGATACTACAGCCTATGACAGAAAATTGTCTGTGCAGGTCCACGTCTTCGTAAAGCCCCCATATAACGGTACCTCGCGATATTCAGTATTTTGATTATTTTAGCGACATTAGTCGCAGGAATTGTTTCATGGAATTTCTATATTAAAAAAGAAAAAAAAACTATAACCATTTTATATTACGGACATGCGTCTGATAGTTCGGAGATGGTTCACGTATTGTTCTTAACAATTTCAGCCAAACACATAAATACAGGAAAATAACTGCAACAAAATTCAAACGCCATAATATTTAGATTTTTTTCTAAAATTTATTGAATGAAAGCAGAAATTGTCGGAAATGGCATCACATTTTAGAATAAGTTTAGATTAGTTCGAATTGATCACCCTTGGCACGAACTATGGCCTTCAAATCGTCATACGCTATGCGAATGTTGCTCTGCGGTATTTTGGCCCACTTCCGGCGAAGCGCTTGCTTAAGATGATCGACACTTTGGTATTGTTTAGTGCCAACCTTGCTTTCCAAAATACTCCAGACACAATAGTCCCACGGATTGGTATCCGGAGATTTTGGTGGCCATTGTGCACTGGAAATGAAGCGAGGAACCTCATTTTGTAACCATTCTTTGGTGGCGTGTGCTGAGTGCGATGGTGCTGAGTCCTGTTGGAATGTCCAAGATCTGCGGCCAAAATGTTTGCGAGCCCAAGGCTTTAATACACCCTCCAGAATATTTTCGCGATAAGATTCTGATACGAGCGGAGAGCGACCATCGGCTGTTATGGCGGCCCTCACCATCACATCACATGGCAGGCGCTTGAGTTCTTGTGGCCAACCGAAGGTGCACATTTTCAGCTGACCTCTTTGGCAAGTAAACACGATCATTTTGTTTGTTTACAAACTGCTGGACAACGAATGAGAAATCCAAATTCGTTAGTTCACCACTTTCGGCCAAGCGAAGCAAGTCTTTAGCTCTTTTGAGTGTATTTTCTTTCTGTTGCGGTGTAAGTTCTTGAATTTTTTGGAATTTCAATGGCTTTACCCCGAGCTCATTCTTTAATATTTTCCGAATGGAATATTGCGATATATTCAGCTCTCGAGCCATTTTTCGGCCACTGCAACGCGGATTTCTATCAAGTCACTTCTTTAGTTTTCGAAACATTTCTTCTGATGTTGCTTTTTTTCTTTCGCCCACTTCCTTGACGTCGGGCTACGCTACCAGTATCACGGTAACGAGCGATGGTACGAGACACAAAAGATTTATTCACATGTAAATGCTGGTGTGCTCTAACGATCACCACATGTTGTTGTCCAGCTAAATATAAAGAAATCACACTATCACGCTTGAATTCCATCACGAATACCTTTTTTTTCTGGAAAATTCTCACCAAAAGGCTTTTGTATGCTTATAAACAATATAATGACCTGTCACTGGAATAATTTTAACAGCTGTCGGACGAGTGGCTTAGAAATGACAGCAGTCTGAAGTTTGTTGCAGGTTTTTCATCTCACCCTGCACAGTTCTCATATAGGTATTTCAAATGTAGTTTCCTTTAAACAGAAAAGTAGAATATAGAACATTTTATCAATACACGGATAATGTAGAGCCTTACAAAATACTTGCCCTGAAACAGCGGAGTTGATTTGAAGACAACTCTACAAAAACTATGTTATAGCGAAATTTAAAATTAAACGTCTTTTCCGAAACACTGTCTTTCAAAAGAACAAAAATCCACTTCCTAATGCTTCTTTTTCATCATCACCTTGATCCCTACCTTGGCAAGTGTCTGTTGCTTCTCAAGTTTTGTATATAGATGTATGTCCTGGATGGTAATGATAATAGCGTGGCGTTTTTTTTTCTTTCTTTTTTGCCTCTATTTAAATTATAACAACACTCTTACGCTCTTCTTGCTGTAGCAGAAATGCTATTAAGACAACGACGACAATGAAAATGATGTGGCCAGTGTCTGCTGCCGCTGTGGCTTCGTCTACGACGGCTGGAAAAGTTAATTTTGATGAAATTTAATAGAGGTCCGTCATTTTTCATCTTTTGGTAACGCGACATCGACAGTTTGCTTTATGACAATGTTTGACTCACTTTTGACGGCAGTAACGTTCTGTCTAATTTGAGTCTTGGTATTATCACCATTACAAAGATTTATTTTGGTTTCTTTCTAGAGAAGCTGTATAGTTTGTTCGTTGCCGCTGTGGGTTAAGTACATTTTCCACTGGCTCTTTGGCCATTTACATTAAGGCTATTTAATGTGATTAACACCAATGAAAATTGTGTTTATGAGATTTTTTTTTTTAATTTTAGTGTTGGTCGTTGTTTTAGGGATAATAAAATAAGTAGAATTAATATGGAACTATGGGGAGCTCAGACAGTGAAAAAAAAATCTTAGGAAAAAACTATGAGACTTAATTTACAATTAATTACAAAAATAAAATGCATTTATTCTCTGTCCGAAGACCACGTATTCTAGATAAAAATAAATGAAAATGTGAGATTCCGAAGGTCACAAAGATTCGTATGAAATCGGATGGGTACATATTGGTTTAATAGTTAATTAGATATTAACGAAAATAATTCGGAACATTTTTCGTTTTTTAATATACTAGCTGAACCGGTCAACATATCAGAAGGAATACTTACGTTAAAGTTTTTTCTCCGGTTAAACTTCTTTATGAAGAAGATTATGACAAGTTAAACCGGCAAGGCTTTCTAAATTCTT